GAGTAAGCGCCTGCTTTGGCAAGTACTGGGAACAGGGTTCAATCCTTGATCCCACATGCCACACTGGTGCCGGCCCCTGAGCTGGTAACCGAGTCTGGGCATGGTGGCACACGCCTGTAATCCCAGCACTGGGGAGGCTGAAAACAGGAGGATCATGACAAGTCCAAGCTGCACAGTGAGACCCTGTACCAAAGACATGAGGAAAAAAAAATCTCCAGTATGCCAGATAAAGGGTTTCTTTTCACATATCAAAACTATCTAGCCAACTAATCTGACAATTAGAATTTTTCAATCCTGTTTACAAATCTGGGCCCACAAGGAAGATCAATACCACAACAAAATAAAAATGCACATTTGACTGAGGAAGGAAAAAAATTTCGCAACTTGTATCAACAGGTTTCAGTGAAGGGGTAGGGGAGATGGCTCAGTGGAATAAGCGCCTGAGTTTAATCCCCAGTTCTGCCAAAAAAAAATAAAAAATAAAAAATAAAATAAAATAAACAGGTTTCAATGAGACCCAGGCATTTCAAGTATACAAGTTATAAACAACAAAATAAAATGTAAATGCTAAAGTCTTTCATATCTGTAAGGTCATAATCAAGCGGTCTCAGTTACTTTTCTCTCACTGGTACAAAATGCCTGACATCCAAAATTAAGGAAGGAAATGTTTATTTAGCTCACAGTTTGTGGCGGTTTCAGTCCATAATCAGATGGCTCCAAGGCAGAATGGCATAGCAAAGGGTGGAAAACAGCAAGACACCAAGAGCAAAAGGGAGGAGCAGAAGCAGCAGTGGCAGAGGCGGTTAGTTTCTCCCTTTCTTATACTGTATCCAGGCCACCTGCCCCAGGGTGGGCAGAGTACCCACAACCCATAATCCCAGCATTCGATCATGACTTGGTCATAAACTGTTGAAGTCCAGCCCAGTGACATGTGGCTTTGGGGGGATACCTAGATACAAACCATAACATGAAGTCACAGTAGTAACTTGCTAATTTAGTTTACTCTTTTATAAGGTTTTCTTTCTTTCTTTTTTTTTTTAATTCTGGTGTAAGCAGCCATTGCACTTTCATCCACCTCATCATAATCTTTCTGCATAAAAAAGAAAATGAAAGTCTGGGACACCGTGAGTCTAGCGATTTAGATACAAAGAGAATCTTAAAAATGAGAAATGCTCCCCTGCTCCAGGAAACATCCAGTATCACAATGGGCCCAGAGGTTCATACCATAAACATGGTTGAGAGAAATATAGAAGGGCCTCTTTCTAAATAAGTATGTACCCCTACAGATAATTATTAAAATCTTGGCTATAAACATATACAGGTTGAGAATTCCATCTCCAGAATGCTTTGGTCCAGGGTATTCTGGACTTCAAACTTTTCAAATTTTTAATTATTTAAAAAGACATCTTGGGAATGGAATCAAATTTAAATCCAAAATTCATGTACACTTTATACACATACCCTGAGGGTATTTTTATACAGTATTTTTAGTGCACCTGCATTTTGATTACAACCTATCTCATGAAATTAGGGGTAGAATTTTGCATTAGTAATGTCATGTTGGCACCTAAATAGTTTTTACTTCAAGCACTTTAGATTTTAGATTTTCAGACTAGGGATGCTCAAACTGTATCAGTTTTGACATCTTCACATCAATCTACTACTACAGTTTTCCACTGTCTCAGCTACCATCAGCATAAATAAAATAAGCTATGTTAAATAGCATCTTAGACAATTATACAATGAAGTCATTAAAACTACATAAATATTACAAATACAGTAGTAGGACAAATCCCTGTATCTTAAAACTTTTTTTTCAAGATTTATTTATTTGGTACAGGGTCTCACTATACAACTTGGACTCTTAGCAATCCTCCTGTTTCAGCATCCCCAGCGCTGGGATTACAGGAATGCACCACCACACCTGGTTTCAGTGGCCAGCATGGCACAGGTCCAGCGTGGCATGTGGTACAGAGGATCGAAATCCAGGTCCTTAGGCTTGCCAGGCAGGGGCTTAGACCATCAAGCTATCTCCCCTGTATCTTTTTTTTTTTTGGTGTGTGTGTGTGTGTGTGTGTGTGTGCGTGCAGGGTCTCACTACACAGCCCAGGCTCATAGTGATCCTCTTGATTTCTGCCTCCCTAGTGCTGGGATTACAGGTGTGTCACCACACCCAGACTTCCCCTGTATCTTGAACTTCTAAGAGTAAAGGGTCACATTAAAAATAAAGTGTCTTCAAACTTTATATTCTTTTTATATTTTTTGTTGTTGTTTGTTTTTGGGGGGACAGGGTCTTGCTATATAGTTCATGCTGGCCTTGAACTCAACAGGTGCATGCCATCATACCTGCCTTATGCTTCATATTCTTAAATTGAAAAATATTTAAATTTATTTGACAGAGTTTAAGAGAACTTTTAAAAAAGAATTCTATGAAACAACCTTACAGGTTGCTAACCTGTATATTTTAGAATAAAACATTTCTAAACTGAATTCCAAATAGAACTGATGGAACTAAGCTGACATCCCATGTTGGCAGCTATTATAAAATGAACACAGCTGCAACATAAAACTATCCAAAGATTAAAAAAAAAAAACCTAAAAAATATACCTGTTCTATATATCTCCATAGCAGATAATGCTTCAACTGCTAATAAATACTTGGTAAAACATCTCCATCCTTGTATAAGACTCTGTGTGTGTGTGTGTGTGTGTGTGTGTGAGAGAGAGAGAGAGAGAGAGAGAGAGAGAGAGAAGGTAGGGAAAACTAACATCCACTGAAAATATTCCAAATAAATACATACTAAACAACTTTGTTTTTTATAAAGGCCAATCCTTGTTGTAATATAAATTAACACTGGTGACCCTAAAATTTTAATGACATACAGAAGTTAAAATAACATCCACTTACTAGATTTTAGTATTTTAAATTTATATTACACACATGAAAATGAGAAAAGTTTGCATATCTCAAAATATAAAATCAGTGTTAATTTTAAATCACCAATAATTAGGAATTCAGTAAGAGGCATACATTTGTCCCCCCCACATGCATATGTTCGGCATCCATGGATTCAACAAACCTTAGACAAAATACTGTCTTTAAAAAAAGTGTCTATAATCAACATGTAAAAACTTTTTCTGATTATTCCACAAGCAATACAATATTAACTGCCACTTACATAGCATTTGTACTGTATTGAGTTAGACCACATATTGATAAAACCAGATACTACCAGATGCACAGTGAAAGTCAAGTTTCAGAGTACTATTTTTAGACACAAATTGCTACATGCTGGCATCACCTTTGTCTCTTGTTGAAACTGTCTTATTATAATCTAATTTAAGAAACTGAACGTTATTTCAAAATGTATATATTGTTTCCACAAGACTCTACAAAACTACTGTCGCCAAAATACTAAAAGTAGTAATGTCAAATATTCTTACTAGTAAATACTTGCAGTGCATAATGTTTACCTCCCCATTCCTTTTTAAATCACATTTTCCTGTCCTCCTCTCTGTCATCTCTTGTTATCTTTTATTTTGTTTATTTACACTTAGTAATGCCAACTATTACAGAACCAGACAAAGCTAACTAGTCAAATGTACATGGAATGCACTGCCTAGTCTTCTGGATCTGCTGGAACAGTACCTCAAGTTTGTGCAAAGTCTGTGGTGCAAAGACCTTTTCCAAACTTGTGATTGCCTTTAAAATCCAAAAACCTGGACACTGCATGTGTCCAACATTTTCGAAGTAATTCAAAAGGTCTGAAAGCCTCCCAACGTAACCAAATAGTTTAGGACATTACCACCCACAGTCAAGTTCTTACCGTATCATGTTAAGTATTATCAACTGTAAATTATTTTCCTGTCATAAATTATGCTAAGCTATTTAGAAAAAAATGTCAACTACAGACCCTTTTATTCGTCTCCAGTTTCTGACAAGACAGCTAAATGTCGGGAATGTGAGGATAAAGCAGCTCGCCTCAACTCTGAGGACTTAAATCGTCATTTCTCTCAAGTAATAAGACCAAACAAAATAAAACATAGATGCTTTTTTTCCTCTCTAAAATACATGAAATAAATAAAAGGAGAGACTCCAAAACTAGGACCATCTTGTGCAACCTTCTATCATATACACACGAGAAGATCGCTCAAGAGTTCCTACGCCTACCCACATCAACTAGCAGGGAGGAACAACCTTTTGTCTGAGTAGACCTGGCCCCTTCACCGAGCGCCAGAATCACCAGAGCAAGAAACGAGTTCCGGGCATAGAGAGCTACAGCAGTTAAGTGTAGGAAGCTCGAGCAATGCTCAAAATGCGAAGCGCCGCTGCCGCGGGACCTGTAACCCAGGCCTCTCCATTCAGGCATGGGCCGACACCTTCCTCAGACACCCGCCCCAACTCAATGACCGCTCACCTCCTCCTCAAGTCGCCTTCGCAAGCGCAGTTCCGAGGTGCCACCGCTACCTGCGCTCCGAGGCGCGGGGGAGGCGACAGTGTGTCCCCGCGCCCGGACCCGGGAGGCGGACGACAAGGAGTGGGAGGTGCACGCGCGGCTCCCGGGAACCGGCCTCGGCGAGCGAGGAGCTCCGGGGCGGCTGAGAGGCGGAGGTCGCCCGCCACTTCGCCAGGGTCAAGCGAGACCCGGAAGGAGGAAAAAATAAAACCAAGAGTCTGAAAAGTGAGAAACGGAAACGAAAACGAAAACACTACCAGGCCGCTGAGCGGATCACCTCAAAACGCCGCCGGAAATCAGAGGCTTGCCTTGCCCTTGTGTGGACGCAGGCAGCTTCCGGCCGTCAGATTAGTCGTCACGCGTCAGGCCACGCCCCAGGCCACGCCCCCAGGCGTAACATCGGCTCAGCGGGGTGCGGTGCGGACTGGGCCGCGGAGGTCTGCATTGTGCAGTGAGAAGCTCTGGACAGAGGCTGGGAGCGCTAAGTTTCAGTTAAAAGGGATACAGTTTCCTCGTTTGTTATATACCATGTTGCAATGAAGAGATGCTCGAAGTATCATGTTTGTTGTTGAAAGTAATTACCGCCATTCTTTTCGTTCATCCCACAGTGTTTAGTGAGTGGTCGAATTGGGTTGAGAAGCGGGGTCTGTTGCAGGTTTGCGAGGCTCCGCGTCCCGGGCCTGCGCCTGTGACGGGCAAGCGAAATGCGGTTTTGGGGGCGTGAACAGAAGTTTCTTGAAACGACAAGAAAACCTAAGTGTATGGCATTCCTGACCATCTCTCTTTCTGTTAGTTAGATCCGATGATCTCCATGAAATCTGTTCATTACAATTGCTTGAGATAGCTAGTGAAGCATCAGAAATTAAAAGATCACTGACCAGCCTCTTAAAGATAAAACAAACATGTACGAGAACCTTTTAATTGTAAAGCAATATATATTGTGTTCTTTGGCAAAAGCAAGGAGTGGAAAAACTTTTATCAAAACTACTGATCAATCTTAGAGACTAGTACGATTTGGTCTCTAGAATCTGTGAAAGTAGGAAGCAGAGTGAGAAGCCAAGAGCATTAGGCGTTCCTGATGACATGCCACGCTATGTTAGAGATTGCTGCAAGAGCTTCTGTACAAGTAGGTTTGATATAACGTTCTGGCAGCAAGAATCCATATCTGCCTGTATCTCGAAGTTCAATTGTAAATGAATACTTGATCCCCAAATCATAGATCCAGTCATCGCCACCTCCAGGAGCTAGGTCTAAAACAAGAAGAAAAAAATTACTTTTTGAAAAATAGGTATTTCAAATTAATTTCACAAAATGAGATTATTTTTGTAAAATGAAAGTAGCTTTGCTTTTTTCTGATTTTTACCTGAGTTTGCTGTAGAAAATGAAGATTGACTGGAATCAAGGAAGAAAACAAAATTCACATGTGACTTCAACCATAATTTACCAAGGTGTAATGAACACAATGTTTTAGGGTAGTACTTTTTTTTTTCAGTGCATGTATTCACTTAAGTTTTTACTGATTCACTACATAAATAAAATCATTTCTGTATGTATAGTAACATTTCTAAACAGTCATTGCAACATTTGTAAATATAATAGAACTCAAGTATTCATCATCATTTTCCATAATTTCATGCCACTGCATCATAAGACTAGATATAATTTATTTAATCATTTATTTGGGCACATTTAAACTTATTCCAATGTAATATAAAGCTTACAATGAGCACTTCATTTACAAATAATTGTTTCTTTATAATATTCTTTCCTCCAAGTTGATTTACTAATCTATGTGCTTTTTAGAATTATGACATACATGTTCCCAAATATATCTCAAAATAATTGAATGAGTTTTACTCATTTTACACTAGCAGGGTGTGAATATGCCTTCATCTCCCTGCTGAACCATTGATGAAAATTGTTTTGCAATTTTGTTGATGAGAAAATAATATACAAATCACCGATACCATCATCACGAATTACACATCTTGTTTATTATATTATTGTCCATCTTATATTTTTAGCAATTATCCTTGTTCATTTTTCCTCATAACTCATTTTATAGATTTTTTTATAAAAACCTGTGCAACACGTAGAAACATTTTTTCTCTCATTCAGATATTTAGTTTTCAAATTAGTTTATGGCAAGGTTTTCATACTTTAAGATTTGACCTGTTGGGAATTTATTGTGCTGATACAGTTTTTAATGCTAAATAGTTTTTCAGATCTTCCAATTCTATTGTTGAACTAGTTGGCATCATTGTCCTTTATTAAGATTTTTTTGTTTTGTTTTTTTGAGATGGAGTCTCACTATGTAGTTCAGGCTGGCCTTGAACTCACCATGTAATCCAGGCTGGCTTTGAACTTGGGATGATTCTCCTGCCTCAGCCTCCAGGCTGCTGGAATTAACTGGCATTATTCTTAATTGGAGTAAAGTGCTTCCTTTAGCAGACACTAGGTCTCTTATACTATATTTGTATTTCTGTGCTTTCTAGTCCCTTCTATTTATCTTCCCCTTTGAGATCCAGTTCCACACTATCTTAATTACTGTGAATTTATAATGTGCATTAACACCTAGTTGCGAGCAAATTCTCTTACTAGTCTTATTTTTGGTAATTTATTTCTGTATGTTAGGAGAGGCTCTGCAGGGTGTTCAGGGTCTCGCTACTAGATTGGACTCATAGTGATTCTCCTGTTTACAGACTCCCAAGTGCTGGGATTACATGCGTGCCCCACCATGCCCAGTTTCAATTGCTGTCTCAGTGTGTCTGGAGGCGGGGCCAGCATGGCAGGCCTGGGGATGGAAACCCCCGCCCCTGCGCCTGCTTGTAGGTGCTTTAATCCACTGAGCTATTTGGCCCGCCCATTTTTGGTATTTTATAAGCTCTTCTACCAAATTTATTTTTTCAAATGAATTTCAAGTTCATTTAAGTGTTCGTTAGGATTGCATTAAATATATAAATTAGGAAATATTTTAGATTTGTTTCTTTTTTTTTCTTGTATTTAGAACAGGGTCTACAGGGTCTCACTATGTAGATCCTACTAGTGATTCTCCTTTTTTCAGCCTTCTAAGTGGTGGGATTACAGGCGGGTGCCACCATGTCCAGTCTCACTTGCTGTCTCAGCCTAAGCAGGCACTTTAGTCCCCCTAGCTATCCGGCTGGCCCTAAATTTGTTTCTCAAAGACATAAGGCTTTCTATCTTCTGTTATATATAGCAGTTTTCTAGATTTTTCATATAGGTTTTATGGATTTGTTTTATTTCTACACACAAAACATTTAACAACAAATTCATACATGTGTATTTATACGTATGTGTGTATGTATATAATGGGATACAACCAGGTCTTTTTTCTATTTTATTTTCTGTATGATTTTTTATATAGAAAGTTCTAGTAGGGTCTAGTGGCACATGCCTGTAATCCCAGCACTAAGGAGATGAAGACAGGAGGACTGCTGTGAGTTTGAGGCCAGCTCGGGGCTAAAAAGTGAGTTTAAACCCAGTCTAAATTACATGGTGATACCCTGTATCAAAAACCAAACAACATAGGGCTGCAGAGGTGCCTCAGTGGTCTAAGTGCCCACTTAGGCAAGCACAAAGACTGGGGTTCAATCCCGGGTTACACATGCCATGTCAGCCATGGAACTCTGGGCACACTGAGCCGGCCACCAAGACCAAGCATGGTGGTGCATGCCTGTAATCCTGTGCTGGGGAGGCTGAAACAGGAGGCTCACTATGAGTCCAAGCTGCATAGTAAGACCCTGTACCAAAAAAATAAAATTAAAAAAAAGAAAAAAAAATGATCTAGGTTTATGTATATTAGTATCAATGAACACTGATTGATACTAATATTTGTGGTTAGTTTGTATAGTTTTCCAGGTAAACAATTATATAATATGAGAAGAATAACCATTTTTTGTCTCTTTCTGCTGGTACTTGGATTGATTACTAGGTTGTTTACTGAAATATTACATATGACATTTTAAAATAGCAGTCAAGAATGGTTTAATTAATTCATGCAGCAAGTATTTTTGACAGCCACAGTCATCCTCTGGCATCTGTTCTTCCAGCATTGGTCCTGTGCCTACACACCCATGATGCAGCCTGGGTAAATAAGTGTGTGTAGATGAACGGATTCTACCATAACAGGGAGGGTCTAAAAGCTTCTTGAGCCCTAACTCACTATGTCTAATTCCTTAAGAAACAATAATAAAGAAGATGGGAACAAAACAAACAAACAAACAAAAAGAGCTCTCAATTGTGAAGGCATCTCTGTACCAGTGCAAGCATCTGGATCTGCAACAGCAAAGTCAGCAGTAAACCCAGAGACACAGATATGGGGTAATTGGGAGAGAAGAAGACAGAATACTGGGGCATCCTACTAACAGAGCATCTGCTACTCAAACAATATACTGACAATAATATAAGCATGACTTTTTATACATTGCAGGTCACACTCTGCTGCTACAAACATTATTTTCAAGCCTTTGTCATACACTATTCCATTCCCCTGGCCTTTCCTCATACGTTTGCTTGGCAACCACTTGTGAGGCAGTTTTCCCAGAAAGAACACTGTCAAGACCTTCCCAGATTTCTTAACTAAATTGCCTTCTTACCTGCAGTCATTATCGAACTTTTTTTTTTTTTTTTTTTTTTTTGCAGAACCAGGGATTGAACTCAGGCCCTTGCACTTGCCAGGGAAGTGCTTATTCCACTGAGCCATCTCCCCAGCCCCCATTATCAAACTTTTAAGCCTAGTTTATTTCCTCCAAAGTACCTGATGAAAGTGTACTGTATTTTACTATTTGTTTAATATCAAAGTTGGCAAACATTCTCTAAAGGACAAGATTTTAAATATTTAGTGTTAGTAGGCCAATTGTCCTTGTTACAATTACTGAGGTCCACTGTTATGAAAGCCATCACACATTATATGCAAATGAATGAGCAGAACTGTGTTACAGTAAGTTTATTTATATCCACAAATATAAATTTCATACAGTTTTCACATGTCAAAAATTTGTTCATTTTGGGTAGAGTTTTTTTTTTTTTTTTTT